GGCTTGATTTTCAATTAAGAGATAATGTCAGTGGAAGAGCACAGTTCATCAGATAGTGTTCCCCTGCTGTTGCAGAAGGCAGAGGTGTAGTAAGCAGAGGTCAACTGCTGAAAATCTATGTGCCTGGCTAAAAGATTATGTAATATGTTAGGCTAATTTTACTTCATTTCATATTCACATATATTAGTGCCGCTTTTGTTATATACTTATCCTTATGTAAGTTACATCTGTTCTTTTATTCACTCATCCATGTTTGCTCTGCTTTCAGATTTATGAAACAGGCATTCCACTGAGCTCAGCAAATGATGGGCATAATAACTTATCTAAATTGCAAAGTATGTGATGCCCTTGAGGTAAACTCAGATGTGAAGGTTTTATGAAGTGGTTCACATGTGGAAGTGTAGGAAAGTGTTTATTTGCCAACCCCTGTCTATCCTTTGGCTGCTCAAACGATGTTCAGAGGATCCTATGGAACTGCTATGAAAGCCTAGGGGCTAAATGGAGGAGAGAAGTAGAACTACATTATTATCTTCATGGGGAAGCAGAGCCATACTGGCACTTATTTGGCTGTCCTCTCTTTGGATGTCAAAAGTTTCTGGTTGATAGGCTCTAAAGTATCTATTTATTTAATGAAATGCCTCTCACTGTAGCAATATTGTGAGGCTTTATTAATGAATTTATTCTTATGAGGAAAGTAATCTCTCTTTATGTATTTATTTATTTTCTTCCAAGATTGCAGAGAAGCAAAATCTCTACAGAGGAAAGTGGGAACCTTCCTGCCCTTTCATGTAGCTGAGATACTCCAACCCCCTCTGCCTGTCCAGCTGCTATAGCATCCTGCAGTGGTCATGTAGAGACCTGGTACCTTGAGTTACTCAGGGCCAAACTTCACTGCTAGAGCCAGCGTTCCTGTTCATGTCAGATTTCACTTACATCACCTATAACTCTGTCAGCAAATAAGCTAGTCAATAATGGCCAGACCTAGCTATTGTAGTTGTTCCTCAACTTATTAGGACCCAGTGGCTGGACCAAATTGAATTATCAGGTTAGTTCCCCCTCAATCTCTCTTAGAAGTTCCCTGCTCCTTGTTGCTGATCCTTGTGCATTGGATGTAATTGCTCAAATGGCTGGGCTAAGTCAGTCTCTTTAAAATAATAAATTTAAATCTAATTTGGTATTAAGATGATAATTTACACTTCAAAATCCAGTAAGTAAAAATATATTTCTACCTCTGTTCGCTAATGAAGAATTCAGCCTTTTTAAGAGGGGGTTTGATGGTCTTTCCCATAGTGTTTCCTATTGACCACTTTAGGAGGGCTTCCCATTGACTAAGGGTGACTTAGAGAAGTCCATTGTGAAAGGCTGATGGTGTGATATTTAAATACCTTCACAAATAACCTACAATGCAATTTGGAAGGAGCTAGCAACTTGAAAAAAAAAAAAAAAATAAATCCTAAATCCTAGTATGGTGCCTTGAAGCCTCTTTAAGCCCAGCAGTCTGGCCACCAGCAAATTCAGTTTGTGAATTTCTGACAATTATAAAAAGAAGTGAGATAGTAAAAAAATTTTTTAGGAAAATGTTCTTGAGGTAGATTGGGACTCAGTCCCCCTGTTAATTGTTGGAAAGGTCTTAGACCCAGGTGTCTGTTTCCCCAAATTGCTAATACAAAGTTCACATTTTATCCAGGGGACTGCAAAGAAAAGTGTGGTAAAATCCTGGAGAACAGGGAATCTGGGAGACTGACCCAGCCTGTTTTTCCTGCCTTTGAGGCATTCTTCAGGGATATTTAGTGGGTAAAGCCTCTGTAGGAGGATGTTTCTTGATCTCCCGAGGTAATCTGGGCTCTCCTGGGTCAGCTCTCCTTGTGGCTGGAGAGCCTTTAGCCTGATAATGCTGAGAAAGGTATCTTGTGTGCAGTGATGTTCTCTTTTCTCCAGCTAATTACAAGGTCATTTGTCATTTCTTTGTATTTAAAGCTTACAAAAATAATTATCCCATTTGACAAATTAGTTCACTTAAAAACATAAATTTGCCAGTGAATCGGACGAGCAGCACAGCACCCAAAACACTCGAAGCTACACATATATTACTACTTTGTCACTCCTGTAAATTCAAAATTGCTCAGATTAATTTCAAATAATTTGATAAGCCCTCCACTGTGACAAAAGGAAAAGCGTTTGGGTGTCAGGCTTTGTGTCCTTCTATGTCAGATTTCAGCCTGAACAAATTTTTTTATGGCTGACTCTAGAATATAAAACTCGGAACACAATGGTTTGTAGTGGCAGTTCTGACAGACCCTTTAACCATTTGGAAAATAGGCACTGCTATAATTCTGCTGCATTAGAGAAAAATTTCTAGTGCTTTCATTAGGTGCAACAGCTGTTTCTATTGCAAAAGCCAAACTTCATTGGTGGTAGCGTAGCTGTCAGCTTTCCAGAGTTTTGCATTTATAGCTGATTGTATAAACTCCTTTATGTTTTGTTTTTTTTTTTGCTTTCCAATATATGGAAATTAATTCAATAGCAAAAATACAAACAACTACCTTGTAACTAGATCTGTGTGAACGTTCTTTGTAGGCTTCTACAATCAATATCATGTGATGAGCAAATAGAGAAATACTGAACTTTTCAAAATGGTTCTAGCACAACTGATATTGTAATCCATACCACATCAATTTTTAATAATCAGATTTAGTCCTTCTTCTTAGTAATGTATTAGAATTCTTTAACCTAGCATAACATTCTTAATGTGAGCTGATTTAAAAAAAAACCAAACAAACCAGCAAAAGACCCAACCAAAAAACCTCCAAGCTCCCTAAGATTTTTCCTATCTCCTCTATTAAAAAAGAATTTATTTCTAAGAACATGCTGAATATGTTGAAATTAAATTTTAAGAAAAAGTAATGTAGAAGAGAAGTATTTGATGATGCTTTTCATGTCTTTGTTCTGATATAATATAGAAAAATATTTTTGTATTATGAAACAAGCCGTGAGTTCTACTTGGAACGAGATGCCTCAAATAGTTATTTTAGTTGTCAAAAATGAAATGCAGAACTATTTTCAGAACGAAAAAGAAAGCACCAAATTTTAAAATGGCAGAGAGTAGATGTTCATGGATTCAGTAAATTTTATTCCCAAATATTGAATTGTGCACAGATTCATGTGGCATAGTATGGGATACCAGTCCATTTTAAAATGTTAGCTTGATTTCCATCAAGATTATACTGAAAGTAAAAGTATCCAGAGAAATATAAAGGATGTACCTACAACACATATGAATGCACTGAAAGAAAATCCTTTGCTTTACTGAATTTACAATGAAAGATTAGCCAGCATCTGTTGATACATGTGGGAATCTTTTTGGTACCACCAACAAACTCTTAATGAGCCTTTAATAAATATTTAGGTATCTGTGCACTTGGTCTAACTTTCAGCCACGATCCGTTCTCAGCAGCCTCTGAACTGTGGTGGTTCAGAGTTGTGAAAATCAAGCTGGTTATTCAAACATCTAACTGTGGATTAAAATCCTGACTTCTGGAATAACTTTGGAAACCTGCCTGTGATATTTAAGTCTATTGTTTGAAAATGGGAAGGATAAGTGCTAGCGAAGTACACGGAACAGGCTATTTGTAAATATGTCATTGACTCTTTGCACTCATCCGTGTTTGTTGTAGATGGCAGGAAATATGTATGTAATTGTATAAATATATATAACTGCATATCATATGTAGTATTTGTGTTGCAAAAGATTCTTATGCGATCTGTAGGTAGGTGTGAGAGCTTTAGAGACTATCCTGGTGCAATGTAAAAGCAGAATGAATATTAATCCTTTGTTTTGCCTCACGAGCATTTGAAAGAGAGGAAACCCAGTCTGTCTATAATTTTGGCATTTAGATTTCGGGTACTTTCTGAAAACATTCTGCACTTGGAAAACTTTATTAAGAGCCACTGATCTGACAGCTAAGTGAGGCAATACACCCACACAGACTTTCTCTCGGAAGAGATGTCTTCTGAAGTTTTAATTCAAATCACTTGGGTATATGGGCTCTGAAATTGCCTTGACCCTCCACCCCTGAGATTTGTTTCAGTCCTCTCTGTCTTATTTGCTTATCCTGGTGACACTGATTCAGTGCAGCCAGGGTTTAAGGTTTAGGTATCTTCCCTGAGATCTGTCTGTAAACCCTAAATCCCAAAGAGGGACAATTTCAAGTCCCTCCAGTGCAGAAATTCAAACCCTCTCTTGTCCAGCCTCCCACCACAGCTGCAACCCAGAGTGAGCGTGTGTCCATCTGGGATCTGACGGAGCCCTAAGACACAGGGTAAGAGCAATGCTTTGAACCATTAGCAACATTTTTCCCTTCCTGGTGATGTGTTGCTGTCCTTTTCCTCAGAAGTGGCTGAATGTCAATGCGGTTCAATGCCCAGAGCTGTGATTTACTCTGGTTTGAAGGTTTTTTAAAAATGGAAGATACTCCTGTTACATCCCAGCCCGACCTACTATTCATTACATCGGCTCAGATTCATCTGTGCAGAGAATCAACACAAGACTCCCTGCATTTCACAAATCCTTTAAGAATTAAATTGACCGGTTGCTGTGCAGGCTACAGAAAGGCATTTACATGTCTCTTACCTCTCACATCACCAAAGCCTCATTTGAGCTCCACTGAGGGACCTAATTTATTGGGCTGAATTTTATTCCCTAACGACTCCCCCCTCCAATTAGCACAGTACACCATATGACAAAGATGGGAGAGAAGTATAAATATCAGCCCAAAATAAAGTATTCAGGGTGGGTTTTTTGTTTTGTTTTGTTTTTTCACTAGCTAACCACAGGAGACTATTAAGATGGACAAAGATCAACCATAGGGGCTAAAGCAAATAATAAATATGTATTTGGGGCTAGTGCTTAAGTACTAACGGAGTTCAAGGCACAGAGTTCGGTTTCAAATGGCACCTCCTTTCTTTTTTACCTTTTGAACAGATATGACTCAGGTGGACATTTACTCCCCAAGGAACAATATACTCTCCCACCCTTTGCAGGTTTTTACCTTTTCAATTTCATCCCACACAGGGCTGTTTTCAATATTTCTTCCCGCAAGGGCGTCCAGGGTAACTGCCATTAGTGACTGCAGCTGTGGCACCAAGATAAAAATTATCAGTGTGGAATTCATACAGAAATAACTTCTCTAAATACACAGATTAAAACCTAATTAAAAAATCATTTGTACGCTGATGATTTTATTACTCATCTTTCACACAATGAGCACTGCCACCTCATCTTTACTTCAGCCATTACACTGTATTATTGTGGGTGTAAAATACTTAACAATGGGAAAAAATCCTTTGGAAAATCTGTATTTAAGCCTATACATTTTCATGCAGTAAATGTTTATACTTAGTAAAGGAATACTTGGGTTGTAAAGAATAAAGGCTCCATATTTCTTTCTTTAGCTGTCTGGGATATTCTGTGTCGTACATGAACGCTTTTTAGTATTTTCTCCCGAGGCTAATGCATCATAATTTAACGCAGCATGTAAAACCTCACAAGAGGACAACACTAAAGCTGAGATGCTTTTACTGTAGCTGGAAGTATCTAGCTCATTTTCCTTGCTTTTACTATCCTTTTTCTTTGGCAAATCCTCCCTTCTCCCCATCATTCAGCGTAACAGAACATAAAAACAAGGCTGACAATTTCTAGTGTAAACTGTAAAAAGAAGCTGTAGGAAAATACTTGCTAATCAGTCCTTAGTGTGAGAAGGGAGGCTAAAATTCAGGTTAGTTGTATTGCCTCGCTCCAGTACCCTTCCAGGTTAGTCATAGCATTGCCTCACCCTGCACCCTTCCCAAACACTTGAAAATGCTTTGATTGCTCTTAATTCAGTAGCAGAGAGACAAGAATCGGATCCAGGGTGTCCTCCTGTGAGCAGTCATTAGCATCAGCATTTAGGAACAAACGAAAAAAACTTGTTTTTAATATCTGTGTTATTGCTGTGCTCAATTAAGTCTATTCCAAAATGTTTCACTGGTGAAAGTGAACTGAAACAATGGTTTTTGGTGTCTCTTCCCAAATTCGTTACTAATTATAAATCATTGGACAATGTAAGTATAAGCATTCATAGAGAAACTGTCTCTTCTTTCGGTACCTAGGTGGGCAGAGGTCTAATATGAGTACATAAGGTGATGAAACTTAAACCATCAGTGTTTAGGCTAATCTGTACAAGATATAAAAATGCTGCCTTGAGATTCAAGGAGTAGATCTGTATTTCTTCCAGTTTACCTTTGCATCCAAGTTTTTGAAGTTGAAATTCTTTGTGTGTGTCCCAACACTGGCTAAAGGGTGCAGGAATCATAGAATGGTTTGGGTTGGAAGGGACCTTAAAGATCATCCAGTTCCAAAACCCCTGCCATGAGCTTTTGAATCTCTCAATAAATTTGCTATGGTTGGTTCCAGCCTGCTTTCTCTGTGCTTGTGCAGCCATTAAGTTGAATCTTATTGGTCCAAATATTTGATGGAAACTTTTTTTTTTTTTTTTAAAAAAGTCATGCATCAGTATTCATGAAAAGCAAACCTGAAAATTTCTGCCTCTGAATTTAATGCAAACAGAGTCAAGAACCTGTCAGAAATTTTCCATCACAATACTTTTAGGACAGATAATCTCCTATGAATCCAGAATAGACAATAGCCCAAAGATTAAGGGGATTAAGAGCAGAATGGGCAAAGCACAGATCTTGTGGCAAACCAATCAGAGGAGGAACCAGTCAGAGGAAGGGGAGGATTTCTCCATTGCTTTTCTTGGAGTGATTCTCTCCGAGGAACTGGTCAAACAGCAGCCACTGGGGCAGGGCCCAGGGCATTGGTCTGTCATCCTCAAGGGACCACGCCAACAGCCCAACTGAGCTGAGGACCACAGTGTTTAGGGCAAGAAGTTAAAACAAGAGACCTTTCTAATTAAAGGTTCGCTATTATTGATACATCCCAGTGAAAAGTGCCCAGTGTGTGCTCTGGTTTTAATTTTTATCACCCCAAGTTTTTCACCAGCTCTATTGGCAGAGAAAATGTGAATGCCACAAGGGCAGGCAGTTGGCAAACCACAGTAATTCTCCCAAAGCTCATACTTTTTTGGAAAATACCCTCCAAGAAAAAATATTGCATTTCAAAAAATGTCTTGTACTCATTTGATTTTAAATTGAAACAGGTTTCTGCTTTTTTAACAAGCTTTCATCTTGATTTATGATGTACAAATATGGTGCCATTGAAATAATGAACCTTAGAAAGATTTTCTTCAGGATTCTTCCCCATTTATATTCAACTGTTCAAGCTAACTGAAATCTTTATTTTCCCAGGGTCTTATACTGTATGTGATAATAAACATTTGGCATCTTTAGCATTTTCTAACTCAGACGATTTAAGTGCCTTGCTTGGTCATAAAGTCTTATCTCAGTTTTACCAATGTAAAGTCAGAATGACCTCAGAGGAATTACTTTAAATTTTTATTAGTACAACTGAGATTAGAATTTGGCCAGCTCAGTTTTCCCCATGGAAAAATTTAAATATCTCTTAGAAATGTTGCTGAAGAGTGAGAAGCAGATAGAGTCACCATGGGTGCTGTGATGCTCACCCCATGGACATGGAGGGGCTGCCTCTGTAGTATCCATTGGGAGCTGCTGAATCACACAAGTACAGCCCAGTCCTGAAAATGTTTCATCCTGCCTGGACCCTGGTGAGATGAGGAGGATGACAGGTAGGCTGAGCAAATGAGGGTCTCTCACTTGCTCCCTGGATGGTTTGGGCATGCAGACCCATGGATGGGCAGCAATGTTCTGTGCTTGGTGCAGTTGTGATGTGACAGGGAAATGGGCACTGCTGGCATAAGAGAAGCCTGTGAGCCTGTGCCACGTGGGTTGGTGCCACCAGGAAAGGTATAGCCCATTAATCATTCCCTGGTGAAGCCACTCTGAAAGTTCTTGCTTGCAGTCTTGTGCCTTAACGCTGTGGTGCCTGAAGTTTACTAAAATATTCTAGCTACAAAGCATCTTAGCTTCCAGCTGCACACGTAGACTAAAGATATATTTTACAGGAGGATGACAGGACAAAGGAAAATAAACGAATGCTGAATTAATACATTTTAATGCTCTGGACGGGATAGCTGGCAGAGATTTTCTGTCTTTATTCTTTTAAAAAACATTTTTACCTTGGGCTCAGTAAACAAAGCATATGTGTTTCATTGATAGATTTACAATCTGTCACTCAAATCTCTCAGCACAGCCCCATGTTCTGCCCAGTCCTACCCCTAAGAGACTGAAGACCTTTGTCTCTGGTGGCCTAGAGCCTCCCCCAAAAAGCTGTCCAGGGAGGTCAGGCTTATGATGACTACATGACAAGATACAGGCAACAGTGTAATAGCCTGTGCCTAATGTGTGATGTGCTGAAAATATTGTCCCCTGGAGAAAAACCTATCACTGAAATATGTACCAATAACTCAAGATGCTTTAGTCAGCCTTGAAATGTGGGCCTGCTGAAGTTTAATACTAGAAGACTTGCCTCAAAAGGAGAATGTCTTTTAATAACACAGTTTCTTTGCAATGTCGTTTCCCCTTATCTCAAGCCCAGACTTCAAAGTCTGGCAACTACCTCCTGCAGTTGCAGGCCACTGCTCGTCTTGCCTAAAGCAAGCTGCTGTGAAGCTTTAATTCTACAGAGCTTAGGAGCTTTGTGGGACTGCAAACAAATGTCAAGGGGCTGGCTTTGGGAAAACCAAGAGTTTTTAGTGAGCCAAAGTTGGATCATCCAAATTGGACTGCATTTAAATCCAGGGACTGTGGAGGGACTTTTAAATTTATTATTATTTTATTTTTTTCCTAGAATGAAATGCTTAAAATTTGCATGTATGTGAGTTCCTGCCCTCCCCCACCAGAAAACCTGACAGCATTGTGGAAGAATAACCATACGGCACTTCCTGATGTCAGGTTATCAATATAGTATTAATGACTCCAGTCTTGCAACAGCCCTGCCCTCATTTTACAAAGGGAAAACAAAAGCATAGCAGGTAGATGGTTTTATTCAGAGACAGGGAGCAAGTCATAGATGGAGCCAGGAAAGAAAATCTTTTCTCTCCTTTCTGCCCTGTCCTCAGCTGTAACCAGATTCAGCCTGTTTTGCTGCAGGTGGTTTCTGATGTTAGATATCTTAAAGTAGCATGATCTGAATAATTGCAATCATTTTCCCAGACTGATTTGGGGAGGTTTGGGGGAAAAGAAGAGGTTTTAAAAATATGCCTACAGATGAGTCATGCTGGTTCTATAAAAGTCATCCTTGCAGGTGATTAGCACCTCCTCTGACAAGGCACTGCAGTCAGATTTTAAAACTACTTCAGGTCTGCACATTTGAAAAATGACTTCCAGAGCAAATTGCAGCGCAGTGCTCTGCCCCAACCCTCCCCTCCCTGGCTCCAAAGGCCAAAACAAGTATTAGAAATAAATACTTACCTGTTCACCATCTTTCTCATTGACGTCCTGCAGGTAGGGAACAGTTGCTAGCTCAGCCATCGCTTGATTAATCACTTGGGACTGTTCCTCAACTCTCTGCATCCGGCCGAGGAGGCTGGAATAATGCAACTTCTCTATCCCACGTGAACACACACAGCGATCGTCCTGTTTTCTCAGGAAAAGCAAATGCGTTAGAGGAGAGTCACATAAAACACACTTGTCCTCTGCATTCTATGCCTTGAAGCTTATCATCATATATATTTGTGCTGGTAATACTATAAGCAATATGGCATTCAGCACCTTTAAGATAATGCCACTGGCAGTCTTTATAAACAACAAAAAAAAGACTTTAAGGACTTTGTTTCCCCAATCTCTCTAGTAGTACTAGAAAAATAAATACGTAGTCATAATATATGTGAAGGGGAGACAGCAGATAACAAACATGAATGCAATTCTTTCATTTGGAAATGGCTTTTCCATAATCCCCTCTCTTAAATATTATCTGACTTTTATGGATTGCTTTTAAAGTTTCAGTGAAGAGGTTGAGGAAACCGTGCAGTGTGTCAGCTTATGTTTGTTTGCAGACTAGGCAAATCCATGGTTTTCAAATATATAACTTTGAGGGACTAAAACCTGCAGAGGTGCTCTCTGATCCTCCAGGCAGCTAGGCACATGGTAAATTTTAAGCATCTGAATATAAAAACTCAGCCAAGTGCTTGCATAAAATCTCAACACCTGCTGAAGTGTTTGATGGATGGCAGCCTTACTACCATATTTTCAAAAGTATTCTGATGCCAAAAATACAAATAAGCACCCTACTGAGATTTTCAAAAGCAATGTGGCCTAGATTCCTGACGAGGTGTAGCCATTGCATATGTGAACGCTCAGCCCTTCTGAGAGAAATTTCCATTCATCTAATCAGGGTTTTGAATGTATTTAAGTGCCTGAAATTCCAAGAATTGGCATAAATTTTCAAAACCACTTCCAGTTATTTTTAGCAGACCTTTGTGCTGGCAGTGGCATATGGTGGCACGCTGATGCTACCAGTTACATACATGTCCAGGTAGGTGATTTTAAGTCTAATCACATATCAAACAGAGTGAATGAAAAGTTTTGAATGACAGTTATTTTTCAATAAATGATGTCCTGTTTTAAAATTAACTTCTCTTGGCAAAAAAATCTTGATCTTTTGGTTTGATGTTGATCTTGGTTTTGCAGAAACTTGCACTAGGCAAGTATCAAGTGTTAGCAAAATGACCACCAACATGGTTCTTGTGTCAACTCTAAGAATCTAATAACAATGCTGTTCTTGCTTTCTTTACATCTTACAAGAATAATAATGGAAAAAAGCTTAGTTTTCTTTTAACCCTAGGAAAATACAAATAATCCTGTTATAGTTAATTTTATCCCTTTATAATATAATACATAATATAATTGTAAACTAGAATAAGATAAAAGATGATGCATTGGAGACCAGTGGCAGGAACACAACTATAGGCTGGGAGCTGCAGATACGAAAGCAACTGAAAAAGAAAGAGCTGAGCCAATGAACTGGTATTTCCAGTAGCTGAAGGAGAGAATCAGACATCACACAGGGAAGAGGAGCTCTGGTCAGCAGTTCTCTGGAGTATTGCAGATAGCTCCAGTCAGCTGTGTTTGGAGAGGTTCATTTAAACCCAAGCATCATGAAGCAGAGAAGCCAACATGGTAGGAGATACCTCTCTTGAGAGAAATGTGGTTTGATTAGACTATTAATGAAAATGCCAAGAGCTTATTCTTTTCAATAAACAATACACAGGGCTAAATTCCAGAGAGAGCAAATTAAAAAGGGAAGGAGAAATAAAAGACAATGACAACAGAAGGGCCATTGTGTAAAAATAGGCACAAATAAGACTAGGGTGGCAATTAAGCTTCTTATCATTCAGATTGAAGGTCTGCAGTGTGTTTCACCAAGAGTAGAAAAAGGCAGAAAGCCTAACTAGTTCTAAGATGCACTTTACTAAATTTATGAATAGGATGTGACACAAAGGTGTATAATAGCAGGTGATTTGACTTGAGGAGCCAGGAGAGCCCTTCCAGGCCTACCTTCTTATGAACTTCTGTTGACCCACCTCTAAGAAGAGAGACCAGGACAACCTCCTTACAAACTATCACTTGAAGAGTCCTTTTCTGAAGATCTGACCGAGCATTAGTAGGGGACATCAGCAAGAAAAAAAGATTTCTGTGGTTTCTGACATGTGAAAGTCATTTTAAGTCTGGCACAGCCTAGTAAGGATGGCACTAAAGCAAGGGACAAAATGGAGCCCCATCTCCACTTGCTTATCAGTGTTTGAAAGCCAGATAGCTGTGTCCCCAGGTAGAGCACTGTGCATTAAAATACTGAGAAGCAATCAGTTAATGAGAGAGACAGAATGCTCTTATCAACATGAAATAGTCTCACAACATTTTATATACAGCAAAAGGTTTTTCCCTGCTATTCTTGAAAACCACCCAAACCCTTTTTGTGTAAGCACTAAGAAATTAGTATCTTGAGTCATCAGCTAAGAAAGCAGGTAAAAATCCTCTCTCATCATGCTGTGTCTGTTAGGGTCTTCTCCAATGGTTAAGAAAGTAAAAGCAAAAAGAAAACAATTTTTTCTCTCCCTGACTTTCCAGAAAAATATGAGAGCATGCCAAGTAGCTATGGGAAACAAACTGGACATCTGTGCCAACAGGCACTCTGTGGACATAGCATTGCTATTTAAGTTTATAGCAGGTTGGAAGTAAATAAATAAATAACTGACAGTGGCGTTTTTTTAAGGGATTAGAGGGGGTTGAACATTGTCAGAGGTGGCGTTTCAGTGACAATGAAAAATGCAGAAAGAGAAAGTAAATAACTGCTGCTGGCAGGAGAAAAAATTCCATGGGGAGCTGAATCACATGATGAGAATTACATGAACTAGAGCAGAATTCAAGGGGCTACTAAGCTGCAGTAAAAAACATAATAAAGTGGCCAAGCAATCAGATGAAGATGAAACCAGCTCAGGCAGGCACAGTGAAGGTTAAGTAAAGAGCAGACTTAAATGGAGACTTCAGTGGAAAAGAGAGAGCTCCCTTAACAAAGAGAAGAGAGACACATTTGAGGAATCAAGTAACAAAGCAACCAACAAATGTAGTATATGGAGTCACAGTTGTCTCCTGCTTAGAAATGCAGTAACATATTAAGACAATAAATGATTAGATTAAATTAAGATGCTGGTACTTCGTATTTTCTAGATGAGCCTCCCCCCTATTGTCTGGTATTCCAAGGAAAATTTAAAGAAAAAATTTAAAGTAAAAATGAGCAATTGATGGACTTTCTCTTCACAACTTTATTCTTAGTGGGCAGCCTTGCCTGAGGCAGGAGTCCTTCCAAGAGAACTTTCCCTAGAAAACTTTTTGCTGCACAAATACCCTTGGAAGTTAAAAAAAAAAAAACACAACAAAAAACAAAAACAAAAAAACCCTTCCTTCTAGGAGAGATATAATGTCCTAAGGATCAGCCCTGGGACATTTTCATTCCTCTAACCCTGGAATGAAAAAGCACCTACAGAAAGCAGATCAGCCTGTTCTGGATGGAGTTTAACTGCCAGTGACAAATACCCAGCACTAACAACCAGAGGAAGGACAGGACAGACTTTCAATGCAAAAAGGAGCTGGAGAGCTTGTAAGAGGAGTGAACCATGTGAGAATTTTGAGATGATACCCCCACTTCTTGCTTTTCTCTATATTCAAGAAAGGAGTCATCCCTTATACCACTTCTGATTATAAATAAAGTTTAATTGCTAGGTGCTAAAGAAAAAGAAAAGTAAAGTGGCTGGTCAGCCTGGATTTAAAACAGGATCTGTCATATCCAATATGTGTGACATGTTTGACTATCAGCTTTAAGAGTAGCACTTTGCAAAAGTCTGGAATGCCCCCTAGTAGTTCTTTTCTATTGTGGAGTCTATTTTCCATCTCGAGATCTGAATGAGGTTAAGCCTTGCAAGTGGCTCTGTAGCATATTGCAATAACAAGCGTAAAAAATCCATCATAATGTTGCTTTAATGCCCTTGGTATCCTCCAGAAAATGTGCATGCTGAAATCTGTACGGAGTAAACACTTTCCCTCTACTTGAAAAATAGACAACAAAACAGTGAGATCTGTAAATGCACGCATCATGCTGTGAATCATATGGTAGGTTTTGTTCACCTTTATAAGTCTAATAAGCCCCTCCGGCTACTGTTTCTCCTGTTAAGTAGCATCATGTGCCATGGACGTGGGACTACAGCAGGAGAAAGGCAAACTTGGTGAGTATAAAGCAGCAGAAATTACCCTGGTGAAATCACTCGATAGAATATCCACTTGTCAGTGCTGGTAATCTTGATTGGAATATGAGTAGCTGAAGGTCTGACTGATAGATGTATTTTTAAGGCACATACAATAAGCTCTGTGTCACGCTATGTATTTCTGGGTAAATGAGGCTTATGGCATTTCCCCACCAGCAGCAAATGATTCTGCGTGGGGACCAGACTGCGATGTTGTTTCTCAAATGCCTCTTGCTTTATAATACACAATGTCCCCTTGATTTAAATGGGACTGGCTGTCCTTCATGAAGGAGTTGCGGGCAATAGAAAATGCTCTGCTTTTTTTAACCTTTAACTTCACGTCTTGCTAACGGTGGTGTGTGGTGTAATTTATATAATTCACTCTATGTTGTGTAGCTGCAAAACTGAGGTGGCAGAATTGACGTATATTCAGTGTTGCCATGGATTAATAAGCTCTGCTTTAGCACTGAGATATTTTTGTAAAAAAACCCAAACAGTCTGATTAGGACAAGCACTTCGGATTGTACATTTGCGTCTGCAAATGAAGAAGAGGGCAGAAAGGAATGTTTGTTTTATTAAAAACTAATATATTCTTTTATCTTCTTACAGTAAGTTATAAAGCTAGAGTCTGAATCTGAAGGTTGTCTTCCAGAAGTTTTTAATTTCGTTTGTGTGTGACGGAAATATGATGGAATTGTATTTAGCTTGAAGAAAAATTTGGAATACTTTCAAAGAAGCAAAAGTGGCCAAATCTTTGCCAGGCCCATAAAGAGATTTTAATCACCAGTAGCAGAACAGTTCTGGCTCTGTGCCTATCTGTATTATCAGGTATAACTGGCTTTGTCATTTGCTCTTCGGGTCAGAGGTTCTGTCTTGCCTGGATCATTCGAGGCTATGAAAACTGAAGGGAAAGCGAGTATGTTTCCACCAATAATGGATGTGGAATTGGCAGCTGTTTGTTCTAACTCAGTGATAAATCCTTCTGTCTTGAGGTTTTTCTCCTCTCCAGTAGAGTTCCCATACTGACCCTCTGGTGCCTGGTTATAAATCTATAGGATGATGATTTAGACCTGTTACCCAGTTCTTGCTGCTGCTGGAGGTGGCATTTGGGTTGACCTTGCCTGAACCCCATGGATGCTATGCTAACCTCCTTAAAAAAAAAAAAAAAAAAAAGGCAAAAAAAAAAAAGCCAAGTTTGCTGCTGACTTCAGTGTTGCTGGGATTTCACTCTGTATTTTTGGGAGCCCTCTTTTGTTTCAGCAAGAATATTGAAATGTATGAGATGAGGTCTAGAGCTGGTAGAAAATATTCCTGTGTAGGAGCCGTATAAATTCATACAACTAGTGGGGTCTGGCTTGAGCTATCCTAATACACGGCTCTGCTTCCATCTCTTACATAACCAGTTTGGTTTCTTTTCCCTGTACTCTGGATACCAAATACCATGTCCCTGCTGATGGCAGGGGGGTTGGAACTAGATGATCTTTAAGGTCCCTTCCAATCCTAACCATCCTATGATTCTATGATTCTATGATCTCGGCTTGAACCATGTGGTCCTGTTCCTCCAAATTAATTTACAGAATAGGGTAGTTATGGCAAATCAAAAGCATATCCAATTTCAAAGTTTTTTATCTTCCTGATACTTTTTGGAGATTAACTGCAACAGAGGAATCTCACCTCTAAAAACTTGATGTTACATCCAAAGAGAGAATTGTGGGGTCAAAAAATTTTTTTTAAATTGGAGTTTTACTGGGGCTTTCAGAAGCACCAGTGTTTTATTCTGTATCCAGTACCCAACCCACTGCCTGTTTATACTTCTGGCTTCTTAAATGTTTGAAGTGCAAGGCGCACAGCAACAACAGATATTTCACTTCCCCAAAGATGCCACTTCTATTATCCTGCGCATCAATAACTTGGGCTTCTCGTCATCTGAAGCCCAGTAGCACATGGCTTCAGGAAATAGCTGGAAAGAAGCAGTTGTGTGTTTCCTTGGGGATGTCTGCCCTCAGCCTGCTCTGCCTGCCTCCCACTGATGCAGATGCTTTACGAATGCCCCTTTTGGAGAAGCACTAAGCACCTTTACCTCCCACTAACCATGGGGAGCTCAAGCACTTACTGTTGTTTCAGCAGCTGCTTCTCTGAGAGTAAAGGAGATATAGCTTCCTCAAATATCTAGCTAATGTTTCTTCCTTGCTAGAGGTTGCTAAGTAGCCGTTTTTGTCAACCTCCTATCTGGTATCAAAACCTAAGAATATAAATCCTGTGATTTGCTAAGACAAGGAAATGGCTCTGATGCCTTCAACATACAGAAAACGAAAAAACTCTTATCGCTAGGGAAAAAGTGTTAACATTAGCATTTACAGTCTGGGGAGGAGAGGCTTCTTCCACTTATTTTCAGGAGAATAATTTAAGAATTGCATTAAAACAGTCTAGTCTACATGCAAATTTGATTTTTGACCTTTTGTGCTAATCAAAAGCCATGGTGCTAAAAAGCTGTGTACATTATTGCACAAAGTATGGAGGAGAATTAACTAATGCACCTTCAATATGGTTGTAACAGATTTGAAGGTTATTTCACATACTTCACTACATAGGGATCAGGATCTAAATCACTAAAAATGCTTCAAGTAGCAATTATTAACTCTTGATGGACATCCTGGTGATATGTGCAGTATACTATGGGTATTAAATACAGTGAGTAGTTTTGCTGGTTATGTGAAGCGGGGATATAACAGGCCATAAAGATTTGAGAAAATTGCATGCAAAGTGATTTTAAACAAACTGGGCACTCTGTTAAATAATCAGGGCTACTTTTTAGAAGTGTCTAAATCTCAGTTGAACTCGGTTCCTAACGCAATTTGCTGAGCATTTCTGGACACAGGAGGAACATGTGTAGATTGAATTACCCACCAAAAAGCACACCTCATTCACACACGCACAGGCTTCTGCTGCCAAACACACCACACACCAGAAAGGGAATTTTATACTCACAGATAATCTAGTGCTTCTTATGAAATCCATTACTGGCAGGATCTTTTGCCCAGTGTTTTCCCAATACATTTTTGTTTCTTCTGTTGTGACAACCATGTAAGGTTCCTCCCGGTCTAGGAAATGAAATCACAGAACCATATACTGTGTTTATTCATAAACATTTTCCATAGAGGATCTAGCAAGATGATGGGTAAACTGGAGGAAGAGAGAGGAGGGTGGGGAGAGCTGTCTGGACAGTCAGGGCTGTTGGGACAGAGAAATGGTTCAAGAAACCCCTGGAGCCCCTCATTTACCAAGGATCATGGAAGTCACCCCTGAGCTATCACACCTACTGAGCAAGTTGTCGTACCTGCAAAGATTGGCATTTTTCTCCTTGACCAGGTTTCCATGGTTTTTCCAATAAATTTGTCTTTGAAACCCAGCGTCAGTAAGTACTTCTGGGGAGCCTGAGAAGGCCAATTAGTCGTCTCTGGCAAGATATGATTTCCTTGAGTGTCTGGAATAGGGAAATGAAAAAAATTGCCTCTGTCACTTCTCTTTTGAGTTGCAATAGAAGTTACTTTTTTGGAGGAAAAAATTGGAAGTCTAAGAAGGAGTGAAATGTAATCCAGAACGCCTGCCAAGACAAAGGTGACCAAACCAACCCATCCAGCTACAGCTGGGGTTTGAAATTCCGGACTTTGCAACCTTTTCCATCAACAGTTTAAATTTTGCTGATGCATAAGAGAAAACACGTTCTTTCCATTTATGCATTTTGCAATGCTGATCCTCCAAAGCATTAATAACTCAACACTTCAGCAATGTAACATGCTGATCTTTTAACTGAAAAAAAAAAAAAAAGCTGTTTTGTTGTTCCCTGAATTTATGGTTTCCTTTTCTACAGATTTGTGTTTATACTCTCACCACCACCATAATCCCAGGCTCCCTTCATGTCCTTTCTGACCCACCCAGCTGGCACGTGACAGCCTGTGCTGTGGCTTGTCCAGAGTTTGTGACTGCCACTGCCAAAAAACCCCCTGTGTATCGGCTGAGTCGATCTGCCCTGACCTCAGCGAGGACAGATGCTCAGAGCAATTGTACAAACCACCTTTGCTTAGGGAACCAGACCAGTCCTTTCCTCCTTCCCCTTCCCCTGCAAAAAATAAACCTAGATTGAATGTCAGTGTCACTTTTCACAAAGGAGCGCTCTGTTTTCGGTGAGTTCTGCTTTCAAGATGCCAGGCTGTGCGGTCACAGTGACAAATGGAGAACTCCACTCAGAGCTCTCTGGACTTACCCCTGTATAAATCAAAGTGAGTGGACCTGATATTTCCCTTGCAGCATGTCCTGCTTCTGACGGATTCTCAATTTTGCAACTAACTGCATTGCATTATATACTGGGATTTAAATGTGTATCTATTCCTTTTCCTTGAAAATAAGGAACACTGAAATCAGTTCAGTCCTTACACTCTAGCAGAACTTGAACTAAAATTGGATGGATGATAGTTACAGAATAGGAAGGTTATTTAAAATAATGTGTTCATGAGATGTCTGGTATTTCACACCCACTGTTAAAATGGGGCTTAGCTCATATTTTTAATTTCACCCATGTGAGATGCAGACCTGCAGGTGGAATGCTCAGTGGTCCCACACTGACAATGAGCTAAACTTGTTGCTTGTGATGTTTTTTGGTGGGCAGTGTGATTGTAGGTCAGACCTGAATAGTTGAGAAACCCCTACTAGGCTGACTTCACCTAACACTGTTTTGAGATATCCCAGCATCGAGTCTAGGAAAAGGAGCTGTGTCTGCTCTCACTGAAAGGGTTTCCAGGACAGAAAGGAATGAGGTTGGGAGAGGTCCCACCTGTATGAGACCTCTAACATCACTGCGCTCTCAAAATCCTCATCCTCCTATTGTTTTTTCTTGGCTATCTATCCCATTTCATTCCTAGAAACTTCAGTGATTCCAGAACCTGCACTTAGTGGAATCTGTATAAAATTGAAGCAAGACTTTTAATCGATAGATTTTTGTAAACAAATATATTTGAGGGCAGAACTGGCTCTAATCAATTTGTTTTATAATTAACTAAAGTACCACAGGACTGAGATCTTTCAAGTTTTTTTTTTTTGTTGTTTTGTTTTGTTTTGTTTTGTTTTTCCCCTCATTCCTTTTCCTTATTGGAAGGAGTGAGAAAATGACTGGTGACACTTTCAGAGTAATTCAGTGATTTATGAACACAAACTCTGTTTCAGTGCAACCCTTGCTGCTTATGTGCTCCTGGAAGTCTCACCCTTGCTGTAAATTGAGGGTATTATGTGAAATATGACTTTATCTTTTTAAAAATCAGATTCGGGGAGTTTTATTTTACGCTCCTTTTAATGCCAATACTTTTGTCCCTAGAAATTCTCCACAAAGTCTTATCAGCAAGTAAATGGTAGACAGGGATTACAAACTGTGCTTCTCCTAAGCACTGATTTGATTACCTAAATCATGTGCAATCATACAGCAAATCTCAGAAATTAATTTCCTCCCTCAGAAGTGTAGAAATGTAAAGGCTCATGCTTCAGATTCTCTCAAACTCTTTTTCTCAGCCACACACACAAACAATATACAGTGCTTAAGAGCATGTGAAATCTGCTGTTACCTGTATAGATGTACTCCATGTAATCAGGGTGCTTTCTAGCAAATGCACAATTTATCTCATATATTTTGTCGTCAGTGACTTCTGTCACAAATGGTGTGTACATAACCGAAAAAGATGTTTCTGTAGTGATGGCTTCTACAATCATAGCCTAAAAAAGGCAAAGAAATGATACATTTCATGTCAGTTAATGGCTAGTTAGAAAAAAAGAAAAAAAGAAAAAAAGAAAAAAAGAAAAAAGAAAAAAGAAAAAAGAAAAAAAGAAAAATAATTACTTTCATAGATGATATTTTCCCTTTAATAATTGCACAGTCATGCAAAGATAACATATTTTGGTCTTGAATATTAATTAGAGGGGAATTTAAATTAGTTCCAGAAAACACTGCCTATCTATACTCAGAAAATCAATTTAATGGAGAAAGAACATTTGTAAACAGTTTTCAGTGCAGCGAGCCTATGTCTTCAATGAGGAGAAAAGTATTAGATAAATTATCTTTTAGATGAAAAGAAAAAGTGATTCCATGCTCTATGAAGGTCACATCTTTCATCTGAGGGTTTTATTCAGTCCTTGGGAGCTGGTTAAACAATACTAAGCATTCATATTACCCCTTGGGTTGGCATGAATCAGACACTGTGTCTATACGGGATATTAGTCTTAAAATATTGCATTTAAATGCTATTTGCATTAAGGGTAAAATTCACTCCTGTGCAGAGGGAAACATGAAGCTTATGAACCTTGTCATCCCTTAAAAATGACTCAAATGATGCATTGTGCTGGTCATACATGGAGAGGTGGATTTCACACTCGGTGGACCCCAATGAACTAGTGCTGGAACTGCCAGGAGGAGCCACCAGCCTGGAAACAGCCATGCTTGGTATGCTTATCCACCAGTGCAAGGGAGGTGGAGCTGCAGTTCCTCCTGGGTTGGGGTTTGGGTAAGACCACCTTCCGCGTTGCTTTGGCCATATCTATTGCTATCAAAGATTTTTGTGTCCTTGACGTGAGCAGTCCTTTCTGGAAACTGGGGGAACTGCGAGTCTTCATTAAGGATGAGAGGAAAAAATATAATTTTTTTTAAACCAAGCGTATTAATCTTTCAGATCACCTGAAGTGATTCACAGAAAATATCATTATGGGACTAGCTTGGTGTTTTATTGACAAATCCTCACCTTTGTTCTCAAGTCTATCCTCCGCCTATGTAAAATTATCTAGTGTGCCTCTGCGAGTCCTTTGTTTAGCTGACGACAACTCCCACCAACCCAGAATGGAAGGCTGGGAGTGCCAATTAGTTAAGTATCTATGTCCTTCTCTTTAATGGCTTTAGAGAACAGTTCCTCTGATATGGCCTTATGCCAGTTTATTTCCATTGTGTTTATTGGTATGGGATATGTAGAAATACCATGGAAGTGCTATAATTGTTTTGAGCAGATATTGGGATATGCTGCCATACGTGCACCCTGAGTGCTTGTACACTGAATATTCTGCCTGGATGTTGAGGATATCACTGGGGATTTGTTTATATTTTAAATTACTATATTGAGTCAGCCCATTATCCTGCATTTACTGGAAAGGAAGAAGTCTGGAGTGGGCAGTATTTAGTCCTGGAAAATTAACAAGCTTCAAATGTGTGTAATAGTATCATGACCACCTGGGGCAGTAATAACATCTCCCCCTGCTGAGAAGGAGTTCCAGCTTTCCATGGGCACAGCCGTGTTATCCATGGTTAATGCCACAGATCTGGAAGTATCAGACCAGAAAATAGCAAGTGTGTCCTCCTGCCAAGAGCTCAGGGGCCCTTGAATAGATCCGTGCTGGTTCCTCCCTGCGGGAACGCTTACCAGTCTGCACTGATTTATAGAAAAGTGATTTTAGGATTTCATATTTCTATGGACTTTAATTATCTTCTCGTTCAGGGCCCTTAGAGGATCAGCAGCAAAACAATGGCACTGATCTAGCTTTCCAAGGTACATTTTTAAAAAAAAAGCAGAGGCCTACTTGTTCAAGTTTTACTGAATTTCATGTGTAAATATAGGCACAGAATTAGGTCAGCCCTATTTTGTGTGAGATGTTGGGTATTCTGCTGATTTTCTAGAGCTTGGCAGCCATTTCCTCATCTGGATTAATATGAGCATGTGAATGTGGTTTTGGGTGTTATCCATACACTTCCGATTTAAATATATATGGCGGCAAGATGAAAATGAGAGTGGTGGGACCAGACAACGTCTGTATTTTACCTGCAAAGTTCACTTTTGGTTTTTTTTTTTGTTTTTTTTCAAGAGCAATTCAGAGTCATGCCTATAATATCTCTGCATTGCCATGCACCCATGGTGACTCTGCACAGCATGCAAAGAGTGACTAGCTCAGAGGGCAATAACGGTAAAATGTCAGCCAACAGGGAAAAGAATAGATCCATAGTTTCTGGTCAATACTGCTACTGAAGGTATTAATATTACTCAAGAGCATTTTTTTTCCCCAAGCTACTGACCCTGGACGTAGATGCTGTTTGTTTTATTATCCTCTTGGATTTTTATGGGGTAAAGTCTTTAAGGATATAAAAACCCAGCCCATAAAAACTTTGGAGGAGAAAACTTTATATGATGAAATCCCTAAGGATTTTTCTGCTTTTATGCATTGAAGTCCATACCCATGGATGAATGTCTGGCAACATGTCCAGGAAACAGGGATGCCTACAGAACATCATCTGTCAGGCTGTATGCTGTGCAGCTACTCAAGATACAGTCACACTGTGGGGAGGATCACAAGGGCTCCAATGGACTTTCAAGAGAGTCCTTGCAGAGGGAACAGGACAACTATTTTTTAACATTTGCATGGTGTCTTTCCATCTGAAGGGTCCTCTCTGCAATGTCCTCTCAGATGCATCAGGGAGGATGTTGCTGTTTTGGCCTCAGAGTGGAAGAAGTGTCGGGCTCTTTCATGAGTATGGGGGTAGCAGCTAAACTGCTAAAGATGATAAGGAAAGATGAATTTTTTTGCATATCTTGCATGTGAGCACTGCAGTGATATCTCATCACATGATGCTACACTCCAGCCCTCAGTTTCAGCAGTGTTAGAAAAAGTGAAGTCTTTGAAATGACCTTAAACCCTAAGAAAGAGATCCTCTAGCAATGTACAATAATGTAAGGACTACACATTACATGAGTCCATTGAATGTGGTGTTTTACCTCAGTCGTGGACAAAATCTTGCTTCAGGGAAGTTGCAAGAACTCACTCAAGAAGAGGCTGCACAGTAATCTGATGAAAGGGAAGATTTCTTTTTGTAGTTATGGGACTGACTCATGCTCTGTTATGTCAGGAGGTTTATATCCCTGTTTTGGAAGTGTTAGGAATCAGAGAAAGTCTGCAGAGAAACCATCTGGAGACAAAGTGTCTCGAGGAGTATTTATATTATCAGAACATATATTAAAATAGCAATTAATTCTCTCATGAAACAGAAGCATTCCCAAGGTTTGGGGGATGTACATTGCTATCATGGCAATTAAAAAGTCAAAAGACATTCCTAAACAGCAAACTTGGTTTTGATCAAGAATTTAAACATATATGTGATCCAACACCTCATACTCCTCTTCTCTGAGCACTTTGGCTCTGCAATATCCTTACATTCTACCATATCTAGCAATATTACATTTCACAGACTTTTAAATAAAATTTAACTTTAGCTTGGACAATCTTATATTGTCTCTTCAACATCCACTAAAATTCTATTAAGAGCTCATAAAATGAACAGGTAGATGCCCAAGAAACAGAGCTTTCCCACGCCAGCTTCTGGTGGCAAGTGATATAACTACTTCAATATTTTTATGAAGCTCTTGCCATTTTGCCTGCTTAGAGCAGACATAGAAGAAGAAAAATGGTACTGTAGCAGCAAATTCTTCATAACAGTGACAGTAGCTTTCCCTGCCACAGTCCCTAACCTTAATCCTCTTTAACTACAGAAAAGTTTAATTTGGAAAATCCAATTATCTTGACATCTAGAATTAGCCAAAAATTTAGATATCTTTCTAGTGCCTTATCTTGCAGCTGCAGTGCACACTCAGCCACTGTCTCATTTACAGTACAGCAGGAATTGATGCTTTTATTGATGATTTTTATTAATGCAATGATATCAGTCAGGGTAAAGCCATTAGCCTCTTCTATGAACTGCTTGCACTCTTAGGCTGGTAGTTAGAAGTATGGGTGCACTGCGGTGCAACCTATGTGCTTTTCTCTATATCTCTCCAACCATAAAGAAGTAGCTGGCAGCCCTGCCACGAAGTCTGTTGCTGTTGTGATATGAATATCTTCTCACCAGCATGATCTTCTTACATAGTTTTAATTTTTTTTCTTCTGTGGGAAAAATAAGTAGACAGAATGCCAGAGCATATCCTTTTCTCAATATGTTTACGGTATGAATAAATCATGTATTATACAATAGATGAGAACTTTCTGCTTATCTGCCATGTAATGCCTCCCCATTAATGTAGGTCACATCAAATATCAGCTTATTTAGGTTCTTAAGTTATTAATGTATTTAAGTCTCTGCGAGTTATTTTGTGTGCAGTATATTTTGAAAGTGGATTTGCAGAGTGCTGCAGCAATAGATCCGTGTATTCTGCTGATTCCTGAAAGGCAGAGGAATTGTATAGATGGGTTACCTTAGGCTTCAAGATCTGTTTGATGCTCCAGTAAGTATCTCTTTATGTTTTGGAAGAAAAGAAATCCATGCTTTATATCCTTCCAAAGAGATCACTATTCATTAAAGGAATACCTCAGAATACATTGAGTATGGAAAAGGCTGGAGACTGCTATGAAACTATCCATAATGCTGGCAGGTGGGACAGCAGAGCCTGGGCAGGAATGTGGAAATACAACTCTAGTTTGGGGAAGCTCTCTGCCCACAAGCCCATCCTCTGGTCTTACAAACTCACGTGCATGGAGAGAGCCGCAGGAGTCCTCAGCTCTCATATCACTTGCTACCAACTGAGGATCTTACCCTTTCGTCACAGCGCAAGGGTAAATGTGGAGGGTTTCAGTGTTTCCTTGCTGTGGTGGAGCTACTCTGAGACCAGTGAAACAGGCTATATTTGCTTTGCAAGGTTGATCCAGAGCGTTGACAAGGTGAGCCCCTGTTACTCTTCAGATGATGGTTTGTT